TTTTTATTTCAAAGGTCCTCATGGCTCAGCAGCAGAAGAATAAATATTACTGTTAAGAAAGCTGATGATAAAGTTGAATAAAAATCTAAGTCTGATTATGAAGGTACATTAAATATCTGACAGTGATCATTACACAGTGTGGCTCTAATTCCTCACTTCACCATCTCTGTCGCAGCTTCCCGTCTCCAAAATGAGCGTACGCCTGGGTCAAAGCTGGCGTGAGGCACYGCATATTTCACGTCAAGTTTGGATTTTATAAATCACAACCTTGGCGTGAAAAGTGGCGTACGYAMRTTTCTGGGCTCATATTGTGCGTACGCCAGTTTTATAAATCCGACCCCTGGACCTCTCGTGAATTTTGTTCTTATCTGAAAAAAATCTTACAATATGAGAAAATAGGTGAATGCCACAAATTCTCCTAAATCACTCATACGCACAACTTAAGAACAAATCTGTTCGTACGAACGGTTCTTGCATGAGGCTCATTGTGTGACGTAGAATATTCACATTATAACAAAGCTCTGATAACTTTTCAAGCATTTTTCTGTCTTCGTAACACAAGCATGACATTGTATGACAGCAAACCTGATGGTAGGAAACGTTTGCATTGTGGCCAAAATGATTTTGACCAAATTATCTCAGTGTTTTTCTTAATATTATCCACTGTTTCTGTCATAAGACTTGACAGGAAGTGGAAGTGCTGCTCTTTAGAAACCTCATGTATGTTTAGAGTGAAGTATCCTTCACTAATAGCTGGCTTTGGTGTACAAATACACAGTACAAATATCTGGCTTCATGTGCCTTTATAATCTATTCTCTTAGATTACGTAGAAGACATTCAGAGCTGTGTATGTGTGCACTTTGCGCATAGACCATGTAGTATTGCTGATTTGTTGTGGCTGTAAATATGCTCTGAAAGCCAAATATAAAGTATGTTAAAAACAGAGCTAAAGAAAAGGAATGAGTACACTTTAAATTGAAGCTGAAGGTATTTGACTTTTTTTTAAACTCATTTCAGAAGATACTTGAAAGTGTTTAGGGGAACAGAAAGGAGACCGCAGGGACTGTCCTGCTGTTCTTCTCTGTTTTTACCCAAGTCTTTCTAACGTTCTGTGGACCAAATTAGAGTTTTGTGTTTTACTGCAGAGAGAAACGCCTGAGACCATAAAGTTGGTTCAGCTCTGACTAAATGAGTAAGATTTGATGTAATGGCTCAGCCTATTTATTCTGATTTATGTATTTTTAATTTAAATGCTTTATCGGTCTTATCATTTCAATATATCTTAAGGTTGTAAATGTAATATTTCTGAAATAACTCCATGTAAAGATTTTAATAAACTGTCTGGACTTCTCGACTTCAATTTTGTTGAACTTTCATTTGCTGATGTGAGAAATACTGTGTTACCTCAAGGGGGTGCTATTACCTTTTAGATCTTGACTCACAGATGCCTTTGTTAAACACAAATCATATATCATATCACATCATATCATATCATATCATATCATATCATATCATATCATATCATATCATATCATATCATATCAT